TAATTTATTTGGTATTTAGCAGTTGATCCAGGGATCTCATGTAGTCATTTCTTGAGAGCAGGGTATCGGCTTTCACTACTACTATATAGCTTCTTCCCACAGCCATCGGGGAAAAGAAGTTCTTGGTTTTAAAGGTTTTGTGTCCTCTGGTTTGTATTTCATTTTTAATTCTAAAACCGTGCCCTGGGTGGACGCTGCTAGTGCCTTTGAGGAGACTTGAATACCTGTATCCGGACCCCTCTGTTCAAGACTAAAAAAGTTCAGTTCCTTCAGCACGTCAGTGGAGGACATCCCCTTCAGCACCAGAATGGTTGCTTTTCTGATTCCAATATCTTTTCTATAACGTGGTAACAAACTATACACACAATTACCTAATTCAGGTAATTATCTATTTTAGAATGAAATACAATTAACCAATTGCACTATAATTTATACCACAGTCATAGCAACACTCTGGGAAGACTATCTGGGAATCATATCACTTTATTGTTGCTTTCACAATGCTTTAATATCTTATTATTATGTTCAATACCTTAGATCTTAGATCTCCCATCGTACACAGACAGGAGCTGTCTGACCGCGAACACTACAACTCTCTCCCCCGGGTCCGAGACTGATCCCACGCCTCCCTCCTCCCTCCCCCGGGTCGGAGTGCAGCCTTACCAGCCAGCTCGGAGCTCTGCTCAGTGTACCAGTGAGTACGAACGTTGTTCTTCTGGGGGTGGAGACGGCTGGGCTTGAAGAATCCTGGGGGGGGCAGGGCATGGACGCGCAGTGTCACTCTGCCATCGTCCTTACCTGGAATAACACCAGGCACACATCAGCACCCCGACCAATGTCACAGCAGACACCCTGCCCCTGTCCAGCCTCCATCGCGCGGTACCTGGAGGTGTGAGCAGCAGCAGGGGGCGGAGGCGGTTGCCATGGAGACAGGAGAAGCGCAGGGAGCCAATGGCAGGGCGAGAAGTCAGGTGGTGAGCCAACCCAGCCAGGTACAGAGCCCGCTTCCTGGGATACCGCTGGTTTAGGTTATCCTTCTGTTGGAGGATCTCCTGGGGTGGAAGTGTGGAAGGAGAGGGTTAATACAGAAGCCCAGATGGAGAGACTGGACACACGGAAAATTGGAGAAGAGAGGGAAAGGGTGGAGAAGACAGAAGGAAGAGAGGGGGTAAGAAAGGCAGGCAGATGGAGAGAGAAGGAGAGGGGACAGGGGACTGAGAGGGAGAACACGCTGAAGGGGAAGAGCCATCAGCACACAGTCCAGGAACGACACTGAGGACACACCCCCCTCCTCAGACTCACCGGGGGCATCGTGACAGCCAGGTCCACTGTGGCATGCGGCTTGGTGCAGGTGCGCAGAGGGTAGCTACCCACCAGGCTGACGGAGGCCGGGGGCGCCATGCGGAAACGACCCTTCACAGCCTGGGGTACCTGGAGAAACGGCACCTTGACCCCGCCGGGCAGCCAGGACTGGTCACACAGCTGGACAAGCCAGAGGCACACAGACACAAAGGTTGAGGAGATGGACAAAGGCAGACAGGGAGGTGGTTAAGGAACCTCAAGTGATTCATAATCTCCTGTGTGCTTGACAGCTAAGCCCTGCTCAGCCTGGTTACACCCCCTGAACACAACCCGAATTACACTGCAGCCTCTAAAGGATTGTGAGCATCCTTTGACATACCAGCTTACTCTCAAACACATCAAGAAAGTGTAATGCAAAAACACTGAAATTTAATACCTTTTCTTTTGACTCTGATACCACCCAGAGTAACACTCAGAGACTTCTAAAACAATTTTCTAGGAAACTAATGCTTTCTACCATTTTCTCCCCTACGCATGCAAAAACACTATTCTAATAAAATGAGTAAAAGCAGGTCAAAAACATTTCTATTATGAGTTATAAAACAAGCGGCTTAAACAGAGATATGCACGACAAGACAACACGGTGCACAACACAGAACAGGACCAAACACCGAATCTGGTGGAAGGGACCTGCGCTCATGCAGAGCCCGATGCAGACGCTCATGCAGTACATGGATATTTATGTTACAGGTGCAGAAGGACAAAAAGGACACTTTCACTACCTGTAAAACTGCTCATTTTAAAGTGGCAGAATACCGAAGTGCATGTATCACCTGCATTATCTCCCGTATGCTTCTTATTTTAACAGCCATAATAATCAGTTCTCTTTCTCATAATTATGGCTTCCATCAAGGCTGTTACTCTTAATCTTCACATGTGTGCCCCCCCCCCGCCCCGGGTCCAGTGCTGACCTCGGTGTCCGAGGTTCGAGGGACGGTCTCCAGCAGCGCGGTCACCTCCTTGACGAACGAGTCGATGAGCCTGCGGCGCCGCTCGGAGAGGACCACCTCCTTCAGCAGCTCCTCCATCTGAGGACGAGAGCGTCGTACTCAGCACGCCGGGCCCGGCCCCGACCCCCTGCCAAACCAGGCCCCACAGACTCTTCGCTCCTGACCTACCCTTCCCAGCAAACATCTGTCCAGTATGGCCACCTGGATTTCATAATAACTCTCTTCACGCTTATATAGCACCTTTCTGGACACTCCACTCAAAGCTCTTTACAGGTAATGGGGATCCCCTGCACCACCACCAGTGTGCAGCCCCAGCTGGATTGCTACAGCAGCCATAGTGTGCAACTATGCTCCCCACACACCAGCTCTCAGTGGGGAGGAGAGCAGAGTGAAGAAGCCAATTCGTAGATGGGGATTATTAGGAGGCCATGATTGGTAAAGGACAGGGGGAAATTTGGCCAGGACACCTGGCTAACACCCCTACTCTTTTCGGGGATAAACGCCCTGGGATTTTCTATAACATCAGAGAGTCAGGACCTCAGTTTTATGTCTCATCCGAAGGATGGCGCCTTTATAAAGTAAAGTGTCCCCGTCACTCTACTGGGGCATGAGGACCCACACAGACCGCAGGGTGAGTGCCCCCTGCTGGCCCCACTAACACCTCTTCCAGCAGCAACCTTAGTTTTTTCCCAGGAGGTCTCCCCTCCAGGTACTGACCAGGCTCACACCTGCTGAGCCTCAGTGGGCTGCCAGCTGTGAGCTGCAGGGTGATATGTCAGCAGCAATATCAGGGCATCTATCACATCAGTTTGCCCTGCCTAGTCTCTAGCAGTCTCTACCCCATCTCACAGACTATTGCCCCTCCCGATCCGTCTCTGCCCCGCCGGCGGCTGCCCTCTGACCTGCATCTTCAGCAGGCTGCAGTGAAAGAGACTCTCCGTCTCCCGCAGCCTGTTCAGCTCCTCCGTGGTGGGTGGCTTGTAGAGTTCCCCCCTGGACAGCTTCACAGGTCTCAGCAACGCCTCCTCCTCCGCCCCCTCCTGGGGCCGGCTCCTCTTCACAGGTGCCCCCTCCTCCTCCTCCTCCGACTCTCTCTCCACGCGCTCCGAGAGGTCCTCCTGAAAGACAGGCAGAGAAGCAGACAGCGTTGCGGAGATGCTTCTGTGTCTCCCTCCCACTCACACTGACACACCCCGGCTCACTCCCTCCTCCCGCAAAGCCCCTCAGCTCGCAGCTGCGCTGCGTTTGACTGGCCGCAAGAGGGCAGCAGTGAGCAGGCACCCCTGTTAACGCCGAGAACAAGCAAAGGTTTATTCCACGCTGAAAAGAGAAGAAACACAACATTGCAGCTGTGGAGCCTTCTTCGGGTGTCTTCCCGGGGTCAAACAGGTGAAAGGGCGCTATAGGGGATCACTGTGGAGCGCTGCTGCAGGGGTGTTTTGGAGATGCGAGTGCAGCAGACTCTGCACAGAGCCGGAAACGATGCGCTCAACGCACCGGGAAGAAGGGCGCTACAGGAGATCGCTGGAGAGCTGCTGCTGTGCTTTGACATCTGAGCTCTGTGGAAAACGACCTCAATACAATTGTGAAAAATGCAACTCCCACAACGCCAGCTGAACAGGTCTCCACAGCCGAAGCGCTGTGTCTCTTTTCAGCCTGCGATAAACCTTTACTTGTTCCTATGCAGCCTACGCATGCTGACACAGCTCCCTACTTGAACACTGAGATGTATTCACGGTGAGAGGCAGAGTTCCAAGATCCAAGCGAGATCCAGAGTTGTCTCTTTTTAATGACAAATACATTGAATAACACCTCATCTGCACTTGTAATAACACCTCTGTATCCCACGATGCCCCTGTGTGCGAGCAGGTTTCCTGAACGAGGGATAACGAACACAAGAGCCAGTCCTCGAGGGTGGGATGTGTCTAGAAGAGAGATCTCTGTCCACCCCCAGCAGGGCAAACTGACAGGAACTCAACATGTCAGCCAGCACGAAAAACACAGATCATCGCTCACATTTCCATTTCCCATGTTTGATGTGCAGGATGATTGCACCAGTGTAGGCAGCACTGGGGCCCTGGGTTCCTGTCTGTATGTTCTCCCCGAGTTCACATTGGTTTCCTCGCACAGTCCAAAGACATACTGGAAGGTTAACTGGCTTCTGGGAAATGTGGCCCTGGTGTGTGCATGTGTGTGTGCCCCAAGATGGATCAGTGTCCTATCCCTGCGTCCTTTGCTTGCCAGGATAAACTCTGGCTCCACAGCAACGCTGGAAGAAGTGCTTAGCAAATGGATGGATGGATAGATGGAGGCTGGTGAGAACAAGAGTCTCCATGAAATACTTGATTCTTTATGAATTTATATATTGAAGGGAAGTGAGATGGAGCCATTCTGTATTCCTGTATGATTTAGCACAGCATCATTCATACAGATGCATTCCTGTCATCCCTTGGGCACAATTTATCACACTTAGCAAGGCTGCAGCGAAGAAATGAACGATTGGCAATCCAAAACCATTTCTGAACGTCTCAGTTAATTGTTTACTTCTTCTAGGTGACTACAAGCAAACTCTACAGTGGACTGTACTGATTTTGCTCAGTTTAAAAGATCGTAGGCCCCTTCCAAGAAACGACCTGATGGAGGTATTCAAAATCTTTAAGGCACTGACGAAGTCAACCCACTGGTCTTCTGCATAGAGGAAACCAAGTAAAAAAGTACACGGAAACGCAACTGTATACGTGGAATTAACACCGAGACCAGGAGACCTATCTTTACGCAAAGTGTTGTGGGAGTGTGGGACAAGATACACAACCAGGTTGTTGAATCGAGTACCCTGATTTCTTTCGAAAAACCAGTGCATTAAATCCTGAATCAATAAACTACAAACTTCTCTTGCAGTAAGCTCGTCCTTGACGTTTTCATGCTACATTACAGTACACTCCGGCTTGATACATTTTAAAACTTAACGTACTGTACAAGAAAGCGTGCGTCTGAACACGGTCATCTCGGCTTACGTCTGTATACCTTCAACACCAGGTTTCATCAAGTGGGTCACTGGTAACAAGCAGATCTAAAAGCCAGATGTAGTTCTGTGTTCCGGTGAATATGAAACATTGTACTCGTTTTATCTTACTGAAATCGTTAGAGTAACCTTACTGGTAGCCATGAGTCTCATGGACCAACAAACACAGATCATTCACATCTTCTGAAACTTAACTAATTCCTACCTTTCCATTCGGTCTCACAACAGATGACTTCTTCATTTTCTTCTTCATATTCCCCTTCCTGTTGTCTGTTTATACCAAAGAACAGCACATTTAGAAAGCAAATCCTCACAGTCGAATCGGGGCAACACTTAACTCACATGGGCACACACTGGGACAACCTAACCCGGAGTGTAAAGCCACACCTCCTCCTAACTCTGATTGGTCATAACCGGGGGGAAAAGAAACTTTTGATTGGACTTTGTCGTATTAGTGACCTTGACGTCACTGACTTATTAAGGTTGGCTGCGCAAAAATCGAAGTAGGGACGCGTTAGAGAATTGTTAGAATCGGAGATTTTATGTTGTCATCCAGTACAGTAACGGAGTTTATCCCGCGGGATACCGAAAAATACGTCAAATGTTAATTATAGAGCAACTGAAATTTTATTTACATTTCCGGTCGTACATATATTTAAAAAAATAAAATCTGTTGCGAATGTTTCGATGGCACCGCTTTTCACTTAAAGCAAGCTAACCGGAAGTCCGATATTCTTCTTACTTGAGTTCGTGTCACAAAACACCTCCAAGCGGGCGGGACTTTTGCTTATGTCGTGGGGACAGTACTGTACTGTAGTTGACTGAAAAAAAAAATCTGTAGGACTGTAGTTCTTAAAAAAAGGAGTTGGCTCAAGAGAGCCTTCAAGAAACAGTGATAACACACAACCAGACGAGAACGATGAGTTGAATGATCTCCTCTCATACATAACCTCCTTGCATACTTTTTTTCACTAAAGGACTCACAAAAACCACCTCTTTACAGAGTCTTCAACATATACCAAGTCATATCGAGTGAGCGCAGGACACATGGCCCTTCGGAGATCTCTCACATCTTGTGATTTAAATTTGTGGTGCTATCTACGGTCCCCCAGAGCATTGAGTGCTTTGCCTTTTCTTCCATCTCCATCTCTCAAGGATCTAATTAAACGGTTTGCTTGGCTACAGGGCAGAACTGCCTCCTAGCAAATGTAGCCAAGCAAATTCATTCAAGCAATTCACCGTATCATGAGATCTTCTCCAGAACATAAACCAGGGTGGGCCCTGATCAGTGCTGGGGTGGGAGACCTTCAGGGAAAACACCGCTTACAGCAGAAGCCTGGCTGCTGGATGAGGAGGTGGTGTTAGATGTACTGCCCACTCAGATGATGAGTTAAAGCAGGTAGCAATAGCAATCCCACTCTGGGCTGGTCCCACCTGCCCTGCCTGAGGCTCCCCCTAGGGGGGTGCCTTCTCCTTGCAGATCACAAACAAGTTGAACAGCAGGATCAGGACGTAGCAAGATCACTGGAGATCCCTTGCACTCAGTAACACATATAACAGAGCAACATATTGTTAATCTTGCACATACAATCTTAGATGTCCCCTCCTATCCACTCATTTTAGAATATATTCTCTGGGAGGTGGTACCAGATCCCCTGTGTGTAGACTAAGAGAGCATGTACTTCATTTAGACCTACAACCATTCAATTATTGAACAATTAAAAGATTGCTTGGAGGTAGGGATCTTATTATTGTTGTTGTTTTATATTTCCTGTCGTAAATATATTTTAAAATATATATTTTGAACAGCTAATTATCTGTTTCTAATCTTATGTGACACTGGATCGAGACTGAGACTTTTTTAAATGTTGTTTTGTATTATGGTATCATACGGTTGCCATATTGCATTATTTTTACATATGTTATATGCTATGACCACTTGACAAATTCCCTTAAGGGCAATAAAGTTGACTCAGTTCAAGTAAATTCCTGACCTGTAGTGGGGCTCTGCTTGTTCATATTGCCTGCCAAGCGACACCCAGATAGGAACTTTGCTTAAGTGACAAATGAAGTGGATCTTCTCTTACACATGAAGTGCTTTGGGATCCTACGGGATGAAAAATCCTGAACGAGTACAGTTCTATCTATCCACCCATTCTCTGACTGCTTTATCCAAACCAGGGTCCCCAGAGGAGCTGGAACCTTTCCCAGCAAGCAATGGGCTCAAGGCAGGATACACCCTGGACAGGACGCCAGTCCATCACAGGGCTCATAGACACACACTCGCATCAGGGCCAGTTTTCCCACCAGCCAATTAACATGCTAGCATGTCTTTGGACTGTGGGTGAAAAAAAGAACAGGAATACAAATAATTATTCTGATAATTTTTATTATTCAGATGATGTGGCTTGGGAAGCTTGTCTCCAGCTGTGATAGAATCTCAGCTCGGGAATCCTCCAGCCTCAAGCCACACAAGTCCCCAGATATCCTCTTGTGGAGGACTTGACCTCTTTTGGCCCACCAGTGCCCTGAATGAAAATATTTTTTTCCCACTGTCTTTCAGCACCACAGATCTCATAACGTTTGGGAGCCCTACAGTGTGACATCTCTAACACTGTCTCATCTCACCGAACGGTGAACTCCACATCTGACTGATTTCCTCCAGATCTCAAACTGGCTCCGGCTTCTGAAGACAACACCTGGCTCTCATAGAACTGTGATCCCATATTCCTCAAACATCCTCAACCTGCTTCTTTAAAAAAAGAGGGGAAAACGTTCCAATTACAGGCCCTAGTGGTCCTTAAACAGAGGGGATACCATGGTCAGATAATGGTGAAACCCACCAAAGACAAACCTTTATTTGACACTACCGAGCTCACCAAGTCAGAAGGACACCAGTAGCATAATTTTGAGAGGTTACACCAAAAATCCAGCAGTGAGGTCAAGTGTGCTCTGAGGTCCAGAGCTTTCACCCAGGGAAGCATTTGTAACATGACACCAGTAATGAGACAGTTCACCACCCACAGCACAAGTCAAGTAGTGTGTTCTTGAGGCAGGAATGAGGTGACCCAGTTGTCACAGGGCAGCACACAGCCTTCGGGATGGTAGTGTGCCAGTCTAGCTAGCACTGGCAAACGCTACAGTATGCATCAACGGGATCTGGTAGCATGATTTTCAAATCCATTTTCTGAATATTCAAATCCCTCTTTAATATAACAAGAAATGCGTTTACCTGGCGATTTTCATAAACACCTCGTTTACGCTTACATAACAAAAGCGTGCATTCTAAGGCAAGATGGGGAAATAAAAAAGCAGGAGACGCACGGGTCAGAGGCAGGGCGATCCCGCACCTAAAGTGGGGTTTCGGGGGATCCTCCCCCCCCCCCTCCACTCCCCAGTGCCCGTCGCGACCGTGCCCAGCCTCTGAACGCGCACGGCGGCCGTGACCCCGCTGCGTGGCGAGAGGAGCCGCGCGACGTGAGGGCAGAGCGCGGAGGCGCAGTGGCAGCCGGAAGCCGAGGAGCGGAGAGTCCCTGTGCGTTTCGCCCGTGTGTTTTCGCTGCTCAATTAATCAAAGGAGCGGACCTCCACAGCGCTGGAGGAGGAGGAGGCGGCGGCGGCGCCGGGGGGGGGACACGCACATAAGCCCAGAAGACACGGCGCCCCAGGTAGGGTGGCTTTGGGCAACAGTTTGACGCCGAGCCATCGCACTGCCGGGGTTCAAAAACGGGCATAAACAACAGCAAGACCGACGGCGGAGACTGCCGAACGGGGGCGAAAGAGCAGCGGGAGGGAGAGTGGCAGAAACACGGAGGCTCCCTGTCTCCTGTGCATACGGCGGCGGGGGGGGGAGAGGTGTTTATGAGGGGAATATAAGCCGTGGAAGCGGACGGACTGTGTGGAGAGACGCGATTTCAAAAGACAACACCCCCCCCCCGCCCCGCTCCCTCCTCGGACTGGGCAGAGAAGAAGCACCGAGCGGAGAGTGGTTTGCGAGACACCGCTGCCTGGTGTGGGCTTGCGAGGTTCCCGGGGTGAAAACCGCCAGGGACTGGGCAGCAGCTCGGACATTAGCGGGCTCTGCGGCCGCCAGCCCGGGGCTCGCCTGCGGCGCTTCCCAGCCGGGAGCCCGCGAACTCGGGCCGCCGACTCCTTGTTGCACTTCGGCGGTACGGTCTCCAGCTGGCAGGTCGGGGTAGCAGCTGAGCTCGGCTCGCCAAGGCGCTGGACAACTTGAAATAGCGTGTTTTTTTATTGTATTTTTGTTCTTTTCGTTTATGTACATGTAAAACTCGTTCGAGGGTCCTGATACCTTGGCTTTAGTATTTTAGCTCATCGTTTGCTTTACAAGTAGATGGTTTTTTTTTTTTGGGGCACATAAAAATGTATTTTTTCCACACTTTCCCCTCTCACCCACAGTGACCTCCACTCCTGCAAGCTTGGTTTGCTTCTACCTGAGATCCTTGATTAAGGCAGTCGGATGCACGGAGCTGGATATTTGCCGGATTGAATGAGGTGAGCTGTGAAGCTCAGATCAGCCCGTATCGCCTGACAGTGCCGGCTTTACTCTGATCTTGATACTGTTGTTGCCTTAACTGCGGACAAGTAACCCCCTCCCTTTAAAAACCAACCTTCATTTATCGATCGAAGTGGATCGATCACAAAAAAGCGTACTTGGCATCACCCAAGAAGAACTGGAGACTGGGCTCTCCCTTGACATCCCTGGGATTTAAATTGGTTGGATATCGTGCTGTGGTTTTGGTTCAGTTTGGATTTCTTGGAAGTTTCCCTGAAAGACCGCGGAGACACGACCTGCTCCTTCTCCTCTGCAGGGATATCTACCCCTCGCTTGTGGATAAAGTCGGGCATTGCGCGCTCGCCCGTGTTTGTGTGTGTGTGGGGCTCGGCTCGGCTCGGTCCGGTCCGGCGGGTCGCGATGGCTCAGCAGCAGATGCCCAGCTCCCAGAAGGCGCTCATGCTGGAGCTGAAGTCTCTCCAGGAGGAGCCTGTGGAAGGGTTCCGCATCACCCTGGTGGAAGAGTCCGACCTGTACAACTGGGAGGTCGCGATCTTTGGCCCCCCCAACACGCTGTACGAGGGGGGCTACTTCAAGGTAAGCCAACCCCGGGTCGCCTTTCCAAGTGCAGTTCAGCACAGGAAGTGGTGCCTTCCTGAAGCATTCAGCTGTTCCAGTCCTTCTAGAAGACGAGGGCGTTGAGGTCTGTCAGCCCGGCGCAGGGATCTGAGTGTTTGTTTTGAAAAAGTTCAAACCTCTTGGGACTTCAAGTGAGTAACACACGACATTCCTGAGATGTTCGGAAAAGAGGTGACGTAGTTCTCCAGGTCTAGCACAGGGAAACCCATCCTCTTCATTTCACATATCTTGGTAGTGTTGTGTTGCATATGTGCCCAACACCACAGGTCTTCATGCCCTTTGAATGACGTTTGCTATTGAATACTCTGATGTAACCCATTTCCAGTGCCTCGTCTTTCGAGAGCGTCCATGTGCGCCTGCTGCCCCGAGTGTGTGTGTTTCTGCAAGCTCGCTCTTCTCTCGGGGAGACTGCTGCTCCTCGCGAGCGCTGGGTGGTTTCTGTGTGGCCCTGCTTTCGGACCCTGGCAGTGACATGTCCCCTTATCTGGCTCTGTGGCACAGACCCCGGTTCAAAAATAGCTTGTCCTCCTGGCGGGCTGCAGCTGTTGACCTGTTGCTGTGCCCATCCACAGACCCGCTGTTCTGGCCTGGCCTTGACACGTTCTCCCTCGCAGTCACATGCACACGCGCAGCACGTGCACTCGCACACAGTCACGCTCGCTCCCTTTCACGGACACTCGCACGCGTGCTCACTTACGCTCAGATGCGCATGCACTCTGTCACACAAACACACAAACAATCGCACTCAACCTGCACACACAGGTACACTCTCACTTGCCCACACTCACACACACGCACACACTCCTTTCATTCACTGACACTTTTCTCTGACGGCAAGACCAGCCACCCTCCCTCAGTCAATTAAACCAACATTTAAAGATGGTTTCATCTTTTTTTCAGCATGGAATAAACCTATTACTTGTTCCATCATTTAAAGATGTATTTAAAGAACTTAATGAAGTAACTGAGGGCTCATCTGAAATGAAATCCAGAAGACCGTACGATACTGCTGGAACAGGGCTGAGAATTAACGACTGAAACAACTAAAAAGACCTACAGTATATAAGCCAGTTATTGGTTCAATCAATGACCTGTTTGGCTAAAACGTTGTGTTGCTCAGCTCCACAGAATACATACCGAGTTCATGCACTAAGAATTGAGGAGGAACATTGCCTTTGTCCATGTGTAGGTCGCGTAAATATTTACATCTGCGTTCCATTCCGTTGGAGGTCTTGATTTATGCCAGTTCTTATTGATCTGATATATACTCGAGATCTTAGGCAGCAGGTTGAATTAAGTAGGAGTTAATGAAGTCATTAAAATACTGAGTGGCCCAAAATGGGACCAAGTGGAAAATCTGGGTTTGTCAGCCCCTGCTGTAATTTGTACT